TTTTTGGTTTTTCTCCGGTACTGGGAACCGAACTCACGACCTTGTGCTTGCCAGGCAGGCGCTTTGCCGCTGAGCTAAATCCCCAGCCCCAGTAACTCGTTCCTAACTGCTTAGCACACTAACGTAGGAAACCCGGTTCAGGAAACGACACACAAGTAAGGGCCAGTTGAGCAGTTGCTTTGTGGCGTTAATTGTGACTTTGTTTCTGGCATCTCTGAGGGCTGTATCTGAGAACGGTAGGGGAGCCAGCCAGAGAGGACAGAGAAGGAGGGGCTGAAATTGATCTCCACCACTACCTGGCAGCGCGGCTGCGGGAGCGGTCATTTTCCCTGTGTGTGTCTTGGCCCATCCCTACCTTTCAGTAGGCAGGCAGTACATATTGAGAATTTGCGTATTGAAAGATAGCAGCTATTGATTTCAAAGTAGGCACCACAAGGCATTTGGGGTCCATTAGGCTGGCTGTTATCTGAAAGAAACTTCTAACAGGGCCAAGATTAATCCAGAGAGAAGCTGAAGTAACATATACTATCTACGAGACCACGTTACTTTGACACTAACGAAGTTCTGATGTCGATGGCTTTCAGACCCGTTACTCTTGTGAAATTGATCAGTGTGTGCAGAGCTGCTGAAATTCTTAAGAGAATTCTACCTGCTGTTTCAAAGAGAGATTTAGTTACTCTTATTGTCACCATCCAATGCTGGAGCTTCAAAGATGAATTTAAAATTAAAAAAAAAAGTTTGAAGATTAGGAAGATTGTTTGGCAATTTAGTTATTCGATGAGTCCTACATTAATCCAGAACAACAAAGGTGTCCTGGCACTGAACACTGCTGAGAAGGCAGTGCACCCTCCCCATTCGGCTTCCTTCTCTGTTCTTTTGCTAAATGCTTTTTAATATCTTGATGTCTCTTTTGAAAGGTGGGGACCCAAACTGTATGCATTGTTCCAGATGCGCTCTTGCCAAAGCAGTATAAAGCAAATGTAACAGGACAAGGCTCCCTCTCTCTAGGTAAGTACATCTGGCAGCTGTGGTGAGCTTTAGCCCCGCTCCCAGGAGACCTGCCAGGATGCTGCAGAGACCTCGTAATACCTGCATCTGTTCATCCACAGGCCAGGGCTTTAGTGCTGTCCAGCCAAAGGAGCTACCCAAGAGCGTCCACCACCACTACAGCACCTGATTCTACCTTCCACAGCTTCTCTTTCAGCAGTTTGCTCCTCTTAGGCTCCTTACCAATCAAGAACATCTCACTACAGTTGAATAATTGTAAGGTCAGCTAGAGTTTATTAAAACGAAGTTCTGTCTGTCATCCTGGCGATCCAGTTGGACTTACTACTTTAGAAAGTTCTCTTATAAAAGACCCTCTCAATCAGGAACAAGAATAGTTAATTTAGTGCAAGCTCACACATTACAAGAGTTCTGCTGGGAAGTTTTCCTGTAAAAACAGGCTCACCTGAACTTAAAAGTGAAGCTCTGACACATATACTGAGTAGAAGAATTAAAGGATTCTTCATAAATCAGGTTAATAAAAGTATTATGCATTCACCTCAATCTGGCAATATTATAAAGTCATTTCTCAACATGATTACCTGAATAGTTTGTTTTAAAATTATTTTATTTCTCTGGCACACACTAATTTCTTCTCAGTTCTAAATAAAATCATAGCAGTTTATCTTATAGATTATGAATGTTATGTCTGAGTCACTGATTAAGCCTACTAAGGTTCTATAAACCTAAGTCTAGGCAAATATATTTGGATATATTTGAAATAATATTGTAAGATGTGGAATAAATATCCATTATAGCAATAGAATTTTTTTTTCATGTGACAAAAAAATGGTTATATGTGCTCATAGTATGGTAGTGAATGTGTACAATTTGCTTCTTTAGTCTTGAATTTTAGATTGCTCTGAGATGAAGTCAAGGTCACACTAGAATCTTTGATATCTCTCTCTCTCTTTCTCTGTCTTTTTGAGACACGGTCTCACTATGCAGCCCAGGCTGGCCTCGAACTCATGATGATCCTCCTGCCTCAGCCTCCAGAGTGCTAGGATTATAGGCGTGTGCCACCACACCCAGCCAACATCTCTTGACACAACCAGAACACTTTGTTTTAAAGCCCACTTGAAGAGCTGTGACACACATACCATCATGTGATGTGTTCTCATTTGGAAAGGGGTGTAACTGATTGTGAATTCATAAAACTCAACTAGCCTTATTCTGGGTATTTTACAAATACCCTTTGTTAAAATACAATTTCAATTTCCCCAGACTGGTACAAGCAATATACTTAGCTATTCATCTTTAAACAGTTTCTTCCAATGCAAGAACTCATTTATATAACACTCTCTATTTTGTTTGTTGATTAGTAAGATTCCCTAAATTAAAATTTGCCCAAGGATTTACAATTTTTTTTCTTACTGATTTTCTTCTATTAGTGCTCTTGCTTTTTAGAGCAAATCCTTTGAGGGCATCAGACTAAGGTTTTGTCATCAGGAGTAGGAAAGGAAGATTTCTGTATGACTCACCAGAAGTTAAGCTCAAATGACAAAGAATTTGAATTACCCAGAGAAGACCTTATAAAGGGGACAACGGGGTGGGCGATTGCCACATCCTCAGCCAGAAATATCATCTAGTTCTGAATCTTGGAAGGACAAGTGGGCCTCTCCTTAACTGATCTTAATGTGATTGGTCCAAGAAAACAGGACAGAGACTTCTGAGCTGGTTTCTGGTCCTTCTCCTGCCACCCCTAGCGTTCCTCTCAGGGTGCTGTTACCGTGTGTGCCTGTGATGGGGATGTGCGCATGAGAAATTAGAGGTGACATCACAGGTGGGCTACCCTGACTGGTTGCTTCGGGGGTAGAAACCCCTCTAGTCTTGGACCAGTGGTATCCAAATTAGTGATCAGCCCCTAATAGTCACATGTCTGGGCTTCCTGCTTTCAACGTTCCTGCCTTTTTTCTGATTTTCTGGCTTGATTTTAGCTATCAGACCAAGTTAGCCTTGACCTGAAGGTCCATCTCCTGGACCTTTAAAACAGGCTGAGGTAGTCAGATGGAACTTGTATATATAAGGTACACCCAGTTCTTGGGTATAAACACCACACAGGCTGCTTTAGTACTTGCTGTGGTACGCATATCACAGAGGTTTGTGCCTGCTACATGCAAAGGAGGTTGTCTATGCCATAAGCTTATATCTACATCATTGGATTGAAGCTCTGCAGAATTTATTTACTACATTAGATTTAGTTTGAGCCAAGCATAATTTTTTTTTTTGAGACAGGCTCTTACTTATATAGCCCAGATTGGCCTCGAACTCATGGTAATCCTCCTGCCTCAGCCTCCCAAGTGCTGGAATTACAGGCCACCAGCCCCAGCTAGCCAAACATAATTCCGACCAGGCTGAAGTCGGAGCGGAGAACTTGTGCAGCCACCTGTATTTTGATGCTGTCTTTGCGTCGCTGCATTTCCTCAGCACCCTTCCATGCCCCTTCATCATTGGCAAACTCAGCATGTTTTAGAAGTTAATTTACAGAATGTGGAAAGGGCATCCAGAGTCATGCCTTTTGCAACCCCATTCTGGTAATATTTTTCTTCTTTCTGGCCTGACTCTGCTGGTGATTTTCTGTATCCTTACACAGGTCCCTGACGACTGACACATGGCGAACTTTAGGATAAGGACGTACCAAGACCGTCCTGGGGTTTCGAATGCCTGCCTCCCCTTGAGTCTGGAATCGCAGCTGGAACTTGATGGACTGGCATTCCCTGCACCGTGGCTCTTGCTGATGGCCCCCTCTCATCTCTTGGCTGTTGGGTTTCCCTTTGTCGCTACTTCTCTTTCTGAACTCCTCTTGATGGGCTTTCCTAGGGACAGACTTTAGGACGGTGACCCAGGACTGGGGACTTCTGCACTGCGTTCTGCGGCCCCGAGGCATCATCCCCCAAACATACACCTGAAGGCATCAGCTTCTGAGAACCCACTTTCTTCTGCATGACTAGCTTGTAAGGAGGAACGTATGGAGAGAACTTTCAGGAGTTTTCCATTTTCGCAAAATGTATGTGACTGATCTTTGGCTTTGCTCTGAGAGCAGCCTCGCTGGCGTACGGCTCTGTGTCCATGTGCTGTGGAATCTGCAGAAATTGGTGCGACACGACCTTTCTTGTCTGGGCTGTTTGTACAATTGTATATAACTGTAGCAATAAATACATTCTAACATCAGCTTGCGCCTTGTTTTCCACTGGATTCTGCATCCTGGTGGCAGGCGGTGACAAACACCGGAAGGAGTGGCCCCTGACCCGTGGGGCCTGAGGCCCCATCTCAGATCCTCATCTCACATTTCACACTGTCGCTTTGGCCAGTGCTGGAGGGTACAGTGGCAGAGCCGGGACGCGAAACGGCATTATTAATTCAGGAGTTGGCCCTGGGCCTGGCACTCCAGGAGGTTTGAATGTCCAAGAACTGACGCTTAGCGGATTGGGGGGTGGCGTGCGATGTGAGTCAGCTCCTTTAATAGTCACTCTGACATCCTTCAGGAACGTACTGTGCTGCGGTGATGTGACAGGTACTTACAGGCACAAAGGCACTCTGAAGATTTCCAGAAAAAACCCCAAATACGCCCACGTGACATGGAACTTTCAGTCTGTCATGGATGGCTTTTAAGGGTATGAAGTCAGTCTAGGTGTTTTAAAGACAATCTCCTGCTACAGGGGGCTGGATAAGTAGATGACTCTTTGACAGGCATGCTTCTCTATTATCAAGGAATATTTTATTCAAACTGGTTTGTCTCAATTAGCTTGAAATCCTTTTTATAACATAAAAAATAACCATATACTTTTTGTGGTTTTTTTTTATCAGTTAGCTTCGTTGTAGTTTCTTGTTAGGCCTTTCCTTGACCATTGAACAAGAGTTGCCATAAAGTCAGTCCTAAGCTATGGGAATGCAAGCTGGGCGTCATGGTGCTCCCTTGTAATCCCAGCAGATGGGAGGTTAGGGAGGAAGCTCACCACAAGTTCGAGGCCCAGCCTGGACTACATCATGAGCTCAAGGGCAGCCTGGACTACATAGTGAGCCCCTATCTTGAAAAACAAAGAACAAACAAAAAGATATGGGAAAGCAATGGAGCCAGAAGTTATAATATCCTTTGGCAAGGGTCTGCAACACTTTATTTTTTATTTTAGTACCGGGAATCAAACTCATGACCTCAGGCTTGCCAGGCAAGCGCTTATGCCGCTGAGCTACATCCCCAGCCCTGCGACAGTTTAAAGACTACTTTTACTGCATTTAAGAAAAACAGCACACACCCCTATGGAAAGGGACTTGAAGGAATCATTTGACCGAACCCTCAGAACTACGGAGCTGACAATGCTCCAAATGACTGTATCCCACCTGTTCCTACCTCTGCCTTTGAATAGATTCAGCAGAGAACCTAAGCCTCCAGGTTGAAAGAGAAAGGCTGCCTTCCACGGGGGAGTCCACGGCTTAGCACTCTCTAAACCTTTCCTGCAGGCAGCTTTTTCTGACTGAGACGAGCGATACAGCGAAACGTTATTAGAAAACTGACGGGATAAGTTATCAGTTGCTTCCGGTTTCAGTGTGTATTAATCGCTCTCTGTGACCAAACACTTGGGAAAAATAGCTTAAGGATTTCTTTTGGCCACAATTTCAGAGGTTTCGGGCGCTGTCGGCTGGCTGTATTGCTTTTAGGCCTCTAGTGAAGCATCAGAGCCGGAGAGTTTGCTGGAGGGAAGCTCCGAACCTCTCGGCAGTCAGGGAGCAGAGCGGCAGAGCCAGGGGGAAGGGGCCGGACCAAACCGTAGTCCCCAGCATCATACCCCGTAATCCGCGCCCACTGGCCTCGTCTGTTGTTTCCAGCAGGTTCCCATGGTGCCATCCAATCGGGGTCTCCTCAGTGGGTCCATCTGCTTGACGAAGCAGAGCCCTCGTCAGCCAACCACTTCCCCAGAAGCCCATGAGCCGGTAGCCAGCACTTCCGCACGTGAGTTTAGCAGGTGCATTTTGAGGGACACCGCAAACCATCACACTGCAATAAAAGGGAGCCCTAATTAGAGACAACACTGCAAAGCCAAAAGCTGCAGCCAACTGAGGACATTCAGCCTGTGGTTTTAAACCTAGACAAGGATCCTGCGCCCTGCCGCTGATTAACAGCCGGGCCCTGGACCTGTCACTCCAATGCTGTGAGCCTCTGATTATCTGCTGCTACGTGAGGGTTTTGGACAGAATGATTATTAAATATAAATTTGTAAATTACTTTTGGCCCATAAAATTTCTCCTCCTCTGGAAAGGGGAAAGATGGAGCCCTAGTAATGATGTTGAAGAGAAAGTCATGAGACCACAAAACCGGGCAGAAGGGAGTTGTGAAGAAGATTTAGGTTTATTTTTTATTTTTTGGTCTTTTTTTGAGACAGGGTCTCGCTATGCAGTTCAGGCTGGCCTTGAGCTCACTTTGTAGCCCAGGCTGGTCCCGAACTCGCAACGATTCTCCTGCCTCAGCCTCCCGAGTGATGGGATTACAGGTACACGCCACCATGACCGGTGAAGGTTTATGTTTAGACACTGGGAAATGCACCGATAAAATAAAGACAAGTTAAAATCTCCCAGCCAAACCCCTTCTGAGGAAACGGACACACTGAGCTCCTGCTTTTCACAGCCCAGTGCCTGGGTTATGTCTTGGCTCCCTTAGGCACAGGGCAGGAAGACCTCAGTCTGTGCTTATTGTTGGAGCAGACAGGCGGGACGCGGAAGCCTCAGAAGCGGCCCTTCTTCATCCACAAACTGCCCGCACCACACCAGTGGTGTGACGTCGAGTGGCCCCTCACCCTGGCAACCGCTGGGCTTCAGTCCCAGCTCCGCTTTAATCTCCTAACTGGCAGAGCAAAGCTAACGTGTGTCACAACCAAAGCGTGGAAGAGCTATCGCTTCTAACTACTAGTAATTCATATATACCCTCAAGAAACAGGTGGGGAGGGTCTGGAGATTTATCTCAGTGGCAAAGCGCCTGCCTGGCTAAGCGCAAGGTCATGAGTTCGGTTCCTGGCACCAGAGAAAAATCTGGCCACTCCTTCCTTCCTTCCCAGGAGGGGGAGTTGTTTGTGAGGCGGGAGACGCGCCTGTGCAGCTCAATCCTGAGCTTGGATTTTCCTCTTGGGACCCGGCTGTCCATAGGAAATCCACAGGTCCTGATGACACCGTCATACAGAAGCAAGCCCAGGCGCCCAGCGGGGAGGATGTGTCCACCTCCCCTGCATTCATTATAAGGAAGCCCGGTACCGCCCACGCAAGCCCACATTCTTCAGCAAGAGCTTAGCAATCCTCCAGTCTTCCCCTGCTTTTTAAAAAATATTTCTCAATTTAATTAGCACGGTGGTTCTCCCTTTATCATACATCAGAATCACCTGGAAGATTTGCTACAAACAAAAAAAAACTCTGACGCTGGGTTCTACTTCCAGAGTTGCTGGAGCTCAAGAATCTGCATTTCTAGCAAGTTGGGAGGTGAGGCTGAGCCCGTTGGATGGGGACCTCCCTTAAGACCCAGAGCACTTGGCTGAGAAAAATCCTATTTATTGCTTCCCTCAACCTCCCGAAGAACCGAATGTTCTCAAGGCTGGCTGAGTCAGCCAAGCAGCCTGTGCTGAACGGGGCCAGCAGAACATCCCTTGGTCAGTATGAGTAACTCTTACAAATCAATATCCTCTTCTAGCCCACAGCCTGGGGGAGAAATATATGAGTACGGATTACATGTATTTCGGTTCTAAGTAGAACACAAGAGAAATCAATGCCAGCTGTACATCAGATCTGAAACGGTTATTTTCACACAGAATCTAAGAGATGCATGCAGTTATCCTTTGCTAAAACCTTACAGAGCATAGCGCATAAATAAGCATTTCGCTGAGGATTTTAATAATGATGGAGATACTGGGTTTTAGAAGATTTTCATTAAATATAAAATGAGAAACATTCGTAGATCAGGTAACAGTGGGACAAATCCTTGTAGACTGATCTGTGGAATCAGCCCAAGACCAAAAACAGAACAGGCACCCCTGCAGAGGTCCCCGGGGACATTTCTCAGGTCCTGGGCCTTTTCTCCGAGAGTCAGTACCAGCTCATACGCAAAGAGGGCAGACACATTGCACCTGGCTTGTGCTTAACCCACATGCAGTCATTCGGCACATACTTTTCAGCGTTTGATGTCTTCCAAATTGGTTTTCCCTGGTTGCTTTGTTGACGACCGCATCACACCTTTTCCTGGCCTCTGTCCTCAGACTGGTCCATGCCTGCTCTGCAAGCCCCTCCCGCTCCTCCACGCCCACGCCAGCGTCTCCCACGCCGGCTTCCTGCGAGCCGCCCCTCCCCCAGCCCCGAGAACAGGGGCAGATCCTCCGAGGTCGCACGCAACGCCCACATTTCAGAGGCCCTGTCCTTCTCTACGTGCATTCGGTGGGTAACTTGCCTCTCTCGGTCCCCTGCCTGCCCAGGGACACTTATCTCTTCCGCTCCTACTTCACACCAGAACTAGACACACAACCGTCTCGGCTGCAAGGCCATCAGCAAACGGGAGAGGAGGGAGTATTTGGTGTCTGTTTTGTGTGATTGTCACAGGGTGACATAGGTACTTTATAAAATAAAGAGGTTCATTTTCCTTACGGTTGTGGTGTCTGAGGAGTCCAAACAGCATGGTTCCAGCAGCCAGAGGAGGGTCCAGGCCGCATACAGAGCAGAGGAACACGAGGGTAGCAGCGCTGAAGGACGCGCGTGTATGGGGGAGGGGGCGGAGCTTATAACCACCTGCTGCAGGGAGAGCCCCATGCCCTGCGAGGGCAGAGCCCCACCTCTCAAAGGTCAGACCACCTCACCACTGGGGACCATGCTTCCAGCACAAGAAATGAGGGACGAATTCCACCAAGAACCAAGCCATAGCACTGAGCCTCCCCGGCTGCGCCACAGGATAATCAAACTGACTTGTTTTGGAGGGCCAGGTCCTGCCTCTACCCGTGCCCTTGGCCACTTGTGCGCTCTCAGCCCTCTTCGTACTGGACAGTGTACACTCTCTACGCTGCGGGCCCCCGGGGATATACACGGAGACAACCCTGACTGTTAGGATTGTGCGGAATTGGCGTCTACCAGGCAGAGGCCAGGCATGCTGGGGAATACCCAGTGTAACAGAGTCCTCCTACCTACCGGAAGAATCACCAGGCCCCCAA